CATCGCTCTTAGGTTAGAGGCCATCGCTCTTAAAGGTTGGAGGCCATGACTCTTAAAGGTTGGAGGCCATCGCTCTTAGGTTGGAGGCCATCGCTCTTAGGTTGGAGGCATCACTTTTAGGTTGGAGGCCATCGCTCTTAGGTTGGAGGCCATCGCTCTTAGGTTGGAGGCATCACTCTTAGGTTGGAGGCCATCGCTCTTAGGTTAGAGGCCATCGCTCTTAAAGGTTGGAGGCCATCGCTCTTAAAGGTTGGAGGCCATCGCTCTTAGGTTGGAGGCCATCGCTCTTAGGTTGGAGGCCATCGCTCTTAGGTTGGAGGCCATCGCTCTTAAAGGTTGGAGGCCATCGCTCTTAGGTTGGAGGCCACCGCTCTTAGGTTGGAGGCATCGCTCTTAGGTTGGAGGCCATCGCTCTTAAGGGTTGGAGGCCATCGCTCTTAGGTTGGAGGCCATCGCTCTTAGGTTGGAGGCCATGCTCTTAAAGGTTGGAGGCCATCGCTCTTAGGTTGGAGGCCATCGCTCTTAGGTTGGAGGCCATCGCTCTTAGGTTGGAGGCATCGCTCTTAAAGGTTGGAGGCCATCGCTCTTAGGTTGGAGGCATCGCTCTTAGGTTGGAGGCATCGCTCTTAGGTTGGAGGCCATCGCTCTTAGGTTGGAGGCATCGCTCTTAAAGGTTGGAGGCCATCGCTCTTAGGTTGGAGGCCATCGCTCTTAGGTTGGAGCCATCGCTCTTAGGTTGGAGGCCATGGCTTCCGAGGCCCTGGCATTCTCTTGCGGGACACCACGCCTCGCGGAACGAAGCTCCGAACGGTCGGCCCCGAACGGACGCCCGTGTCGCAACAACGGTTGGCCCGTGTCGAAGCTGGAAAAAAAAAGGCAGATCTTGTCTTGTTGTGCTCTGTTTGTTCCCAGTTTTATTAGGTTGCCCTTCTCTCCCAAGGCTTTCTTCCTGATCTCTCCGAAGGCTTTGATTCTCTTTTTCCTCTTTTTCCTGTTGCGAAATAGGAGGCTCGATCGCATCAGAATTGTGTTGAAGCTCATGCTCCGCTGGAGTGCATGGTGCAGCTGCTCGTTCGAGCATGGCACATGTTTGAGTTTCGACGCAA